CCCAGACGACGTGGATCGTTGTTCATAATATCAATCACTGGTTTGTCTGGTCCAGACTTCATCATTTATAGGTCGCTGTCATATACGAGGGGCGTTCAATAAGTTTTGCAACTTCAATATAAGACCAAGTCGCAGAATATCTTTTGCACTTTTATTTGTCAATATAATTTCATTCACGTCAATACACTTATTCCATTTGTTCTTCAAGCTTTTAATACCACTTTTATAGAAATCCGTGGTTAGGATTGGTCTTCAAAAATCCATTCTCGTATGAGACGCGAACTGGTAGTCAGGCTTGGTGACTATGTTGATGCATGTCATCGTATTCCAACTGCGTAGATCGATGCTCATGATATCACTCACTGGATTGTCTGGTAACATAATTATTTACAGACCTCCGGATATTGCTTGAATATTGCTTAGTGCGGCGTTAAACAACAACCCAATAACCAACAACCTTTAAACGATACATACAAAACAACAAACAATGTGAACGCTTAAAAGTAAAAATCTTTATTTACAAAATATGCATCACTTGCAAGAGCGACACATTCCCTGTGTTACATCTACTTAACAGCATAGCGGAGTCTGGGACGACCAATGACGCTTGTAACATTACACATCAGTACATTATTGCATAGTTTGATTGCATCCTGCAGCACTAAGGGGACACCAAGGGTAGGTACATATCTACATTGATCATGGCATGGAGAGAAATTCTACAACATATTCCAATGCCACGGGAAAGATGCATAAACATTATTTACATCTATTTCAGACGCACAGACATGCATATTCTGTTCTACAGACCTTTGCTCGTCTTCATTATAATGTAGGACATTTGCACAGGCGATTTTGTTTCAGATATTCGACAGCCGTTGTTAAAAGAAATACCATATTTCCTCTATAAGACGCTGGGTTCCATCACACGCAGGCCTCTACTTGACGCCGGGTTTTACGCTGAGTTCCAAAAATTAGAAGTCAGGACTCCATTAGACGCTGGGTATTTTATTTACTTTTATACTGTGATATGTTGATGATCAATATTGATCAAATATACCCTTTGTATGACTTTAGATTTTTGGATTCGGTAAGGTTGTAAGTTGCCTGTGTGCAAGCTTTAAAGGGAATAGACGTCGGGCCTCTAACAGACGCTGAGTTAACGGCTTGCGCGAAATTAAATGACGCCCGAGGGTCTGAAAGAGGAAATACGGTCACAAAAATATTAATTAAATGACAAGATTTCTCCCTTATAAGTGTTGTATGGTTTGTAACCAAGGTTGCAATAGTCTATGCATTACATTGTCCACAGAATTAAGTGTTAATTGTTCATTCAAAATAATAGGCCACGTCAAATTGGCTATTTGTTTACTTTCAAAAAAGAAATCAGTAACAAAAATATAACTTTAATGTCAATATTCATCCCTTGTATGCATCGTGTGCTTGTACTATACAATTCATTACCAATGAATGGAAAACAATATTAAAATTAATTTTTTGTGCGTTTATTCTTATAAATATTAAAAATAATCAATTATTGTGGCTATATCTTAAAGCGTCTGCGTAATGTATTCATATCTAGATGAGGAAAGATTGTTGTTAATGGCATTCCTAGACATTGTAGACCCATAGATACTCTAATGTACAAAGCAAAACACGCGTAATACAAATCTATACAACAGTAACAGGATACAGTAAACTACGGTTATAACGAATTCAAAGGGACCACTAAGTTTAGTTCGTTATAAGCATATATACAGCATATATACAACAAATGGCCCGGACTAAAAAATAAGTTCGTTATATCGGTCAGTTCGTTATAACCATAGTTTACTGTACTTGTTTCTGACTACTAAGTGGCAACTGTAACCGAAGTACTATACCCGGGCATCAGGGGAGTAGGTCTAGACACACCCTACAGCAGCAAAGTATACGTAGTGTCTAAACACAGCCAACAGCAGGTCAGCAGGGTCTAGACACAGTCAACAGCAGGCAAGCAGAGTCAAGACACAGCAAACAGCAGGCAAGTAGGGTCTAGACACAGCCAACAGCAGGTAAGCAGGGTCTAGACACAGCCAACAGCAGGCGAGAGGGTCTAGACACAGCCTACAGCAGCAAAGTATACGTAGAGTCTAGACACAGCCAACAGCAGGTAAGCAGGGTCTAGACACAGCCAACAGCAGGAAAGTAGGGTCTAGAAACAGCCAACAGCAGGAAAGTAGGGTCTAGAAACAGCCAACAGCAGGTTAGCAGGGTCTAGACACAGTCAACAGCAGGCAAGCAGTGTCTAGACACAGCCAACAGCAGGCAAGTAGGGTCTAGACACAGCCAATATCAACAAGTAGGGTCTAGACACAGCCAACAGCAGGCAAGTAGGGTCTAGACACAGCCAACAGCAGGCAAGTAGGGTCTAGACACAGCCAACAGCAGGCAAGTAGGGTCTAGACACAGCAAACAGCCGGCAAGTAGGGTCTAGACACAGCCAACAACAGGTTAGCAGGGTCTAGACACAGTCAACAGCAGGCAAGCAGTGTCTAGACACAGCCAACAGTAGGCAAGTAGGGTCTAGACACAGCCAACAGCAGGCAAGTAGGGTCTAGACACAGCCAACAGCAGGCAAGTAGGGTCTAGACACAGCCAACAGCGGGTAAGAGGGTCTAGACACAACAAACAGCGGGTAAGTAGGGTCTAGACACAGCCAACAGCAGGCAAGTAGGGTCTAGACACAGCAAACAGCAGGCAAGTAGGGTCTAGACACAGCCAACAGCAGGCAAGTAGGGTCTAGACACAGCCAACAGCGGGCAAGAGGGTCTAGACACAACCAACAGCGGGTAAGTAGAGTCTAGACACAGCCAACAGCAGGCAAGTAGGGTCTAGACACAGCCAACAACGGGTAAGTAGGGTCTAGACACAACCAACAGCGGGTAAGAGGGTCTAGACACAGCCAACAGCGGGTAGGAGGGTCTAGACACACCCAACAGCAGGCAAGTAGGGTCTAGACACAGCCAACAGCAGGCAAGTAGGGTCTAGACACAGCCAACAGCGGGTAAGAGGGTCTAGACACAACCAACAGCAGGCAAGTAGGGTCTAGACTCAGCCAACAGCAGGCAAGTAGGGTCTAGACTCAGCCAACAGCAGGCAAGTAGGGTCTAGACTCAGCCAACAGCAGGCAAGTAGGGTCTAGACACAGCCAACAGCAGGCAAGTAGGGTCTAGACACAGCCAACAGCGGGTAAGAGGGTCTAGACACAACCAACAGCAGGCAAGTAGGGTCTAGACTCAGCCAACAGCAGGCAAGTAGGGTCTAGACTCAGCCAACAGCAGGCAAGTAGGGTCTAGACTCAGCCAACAGCAGGCAAGTAGGGTCTAGACACAGCCAACAGCAGGCAAGTAGGGTCTAGACTCAGCCAACAGCAGGCAAGTAGGGTCTAGACTCAGCCAACAGCAGGCAAGTAGGGTCTAGACACAGCCAACAGCAGGCAAGTAGGGTCTAGACTCAGCCAACAGCAGGCAAGTAGGGTCTAGACACAGCCAACAGCAGGCAAGTAGGGTCTAGACTCAGCCAACAGCAGGCAAGTAGGGTCTAGACTCAGCCAACAGCAGGCAAGTAGGGTCTAGACACAGCCAACAGCAGGCAAGTAGGGTCTAGACTCAGCCAACAGCAGGCAAGTAGGGTCTAGACTCAGCCAACAGCAGGCAAGTACTCAGCATACTATTTCCCCCTGAGACACCCGCCACATTAACCATACTACATATTACCTTCATGCACTTGTCGGTTCGAACTGAAACTTACATCATTTTCATTTTGGTTTATTTACAATGCAAACAAAACCAAGAAATGGACATCGAATGGCTAATTGTGATACAAAAACGACATGCATATGACGTGATGATATAAGGTGGTAACCAAGAGTGGCTATTTAGATTGTACAACGTATTTTAAAAATGTGGTTGTCGTTATAAATTATATACTTGTAATGATGTGCCCTACAGTAGACTGTAGGGTAGAAAGTATGAGGTCTTTAGTTGGAATATGGAATTGATGATTGATACTTGGGCATTTTGGGAACGATTCAATATTGATGCTTCGATGTGCTGATGAAGATGAATACGTTTGCTTCAATGTCGTCATGTTTTAACAATTACATGACTGTCTTAAAATTCTGTGATATCTCTAACTCTTTGAGGTAAAAACCTTAACATGAACATCTTAAATCGACTTGTCTTAACAGTTCGAGATGCATACTTTAACATGACTTTCGTCTAAACTCGACATGTATCAACAGCATAAGAAAGACACGTCGTAAAAGTGCGTGAACTCGAAAAGAACTCGATACAGATAATTCGACATATCTTATCAACTCGACATCTATCAACGGTTCAAGATAGATATTTCGACATGTATATACAGTTCGATATAAATACATTCACACATGCTAAGTGTCGACATGTTTAGACGGTTTGATAAGAAGATATCGAGACAGTTCAAATACAAAAAGAGCACAAGACCAAAATTATTGGCAATACCTTTACATGAAACCAGACAGCGTGAATGTCAATAGTTATTTGAACGTATAAAGAAAAAGTTTTTGCTAAATGTCACACTGCTTTTAGAAATGTCATAAACTCTTATATTTCTTCTTTTTTCGGGGTGTGGGGGGTGGGAGGTTTCCATGTCTGTGTCAACTTAGAATCACCAGCCATGATACTAATCGCCGTCTATTTTAGTCCCGACAAGACTGATTTCTCAATTTGAGTCGAGTGAGTAGGTAAGGCAATGTCATTGATGAAGTCTCTCGGGCTGCAGATTTGACGGGGTCACAAGGGAAGCGAAGAAAATAGAAAATTAATAGGACTGGTGGCGAGATTGTCGATCGTCCGATTGAACCAATGTTGGGCCTTCTCTGACTCCCTTCCTGCAACGCAAGACGTCGCTGATGACGTCAAACGCTGTGGTTCTTACACCTAGCCACCGTTAGTTTCATTTTCTTTGCTTTTGGATTTTTAATCTACACGAAGTCATCTTTCTATAGATTCCAGATTGGTAATGATGTGCATAAAGATATACACAAACAAATTACATTTACAAATAGCAGAGGTATTTATGATGTTGACCTTTGAAATGACGATCTGTGGAATATTCGAGACGTGGATGTTCTAGTGTTTTTAATTGTTACGTAAAACTATCACGCTCTTATTTAATAACACATAATACACATGCCCATGGATGCTGTTAACAATACCTGTATTGAATCATAAACTTCTTGTTAACTTTAAGTTGATTTGATGTTTTTCGGGTCTATTTTGATGAAGTCAGGAATAGAAAAAAAAATCATAAGAAAAGATAACAGTGAAATAGAAAACGATAGTGTCTGCTTAGAAAATGCTAACGTCATGTGAGAAAGCAATTAAGGACTTTTGATTAGATCTTACTGAAGTTTTACCACAGAGCCTTGCCTTGTGATTCTCGCACCTGCTGTACACCTAGCAACCGGTTAAAATAGTTTTTGGGGATAATCGGAAACATATGATATAGATTCCGAGGATTAATTATAAATAGTTGATGTGCTGCGTCCCAATGAACTAATATAACACATACAACTCAAAATAAGTTAAAGGACACCGCATGTTTTCATGTGACTACAGTTAATCAGTCATGGTTGGTGGGGGTTGCAACTTCCAGCTGTGTAACTTGTTTTGAGCGCAACCTGTTATTGTTCATCGAGCCTTTTGGAGACCTACCTCTGTCCCATAAAGTAGCTTCAAGCAACATTTCGTTTATAAACAATATCATTTACACAATATCTGCCAGCGTACACCGTTAAAGGTACCCATCGAGCGTTAATTCCAAACGAGGTTTACATTTATCGTGGTATTTTAAGCACCACTAGGTTTCTGTGCAGGAAGGGAATTCTATGTAACGTATTTATGTCACGTGTTACTTCAGGTCTGCAAGCCTTTGAGTATCGCTTGATGGCTTCCTTTAAAATTGTATTTCATAAATACTTCTGTCTACCAGCCATTCTGATGATTTGAGATCAGCTGGAGTGACACATCAGTGGTGAGACTATTCATATGCGGCCATTGTCTTCTCTCATGACAAGAATGGTTGCAATGTCGCCAAATACGATGCCAGCAACATACAAATCGAACTCTATGAGCTGCAAAGTTACAGAGTTTTTTCCACTGCATATTGACATTTGGTGCATATGAATGTTGTTTACTACCGCCGCAATATTTCAGCGATTTCACAACAGCCTGAAAACAATTGAGTCTGCCGATGGACCTGCTACACCTTAAACATTGTTACAATCCCCCGAAAATTAAATGTGACCCTTGATTAGTGCATCACAAAGCCCAGGGGCGATTTAGACAGATAGTTTCACGTTTATAGTCTTAAGTGACGTTATTGTTGAAACTACCGTTGCCATCATGGTCAAAAGCGGAGTGACTGAAGGCAGGAGAAACGAATAACGCCATAGTGTACGATGACATCATCGTCTCTTACGTCAAACATACATTGGTCCTATTCTGACATCAGTCCTGGACACACACAAGCGTACAGGCTATCTCGGGGGACAACCCACCTGCCACATTAGAGGACACGATGTATTTATCTATTTCAGTCAGGAAACTGCTGAAGAAACCGAAACTGGAAATAACGCTAGAAGAAGACACTGATGACTAGCAAATATACACTCGAATGGTAAATCTGGTTAGTTCTACTAAAAGGTAAGCTGCTCTTCAGGGCATATAGAACCACTAACAACGTTCAAGTCTTTCACCAGTATCAAGCGCAGATTATCATTCAGCTTACGCACACATCTCATACATGTCATACCCGCAACGCTTCCCAAACGCGTGTCTATTGGATATATATAAAGTATGTTTGGATATCCCAGGAGATTGTTACTAAAACAAAACAAGTTGTAATTCCCAGTACTGATATATTCGTTATTGATTATTAAAAGAAAACATTTAAGAGCTTCACGGTAAAAGTCGGTTCGGAATGCTATAGAGAAGCCATTGCTGTAACTACTCTTTCTGGGGACATTATGGCTTAAGAGGAGACGTCTAAAAGTTTGTGACAAACGGACTGACGGACAGACGACGATCAAAGCGCCAGCCATAAGATCACTTTTAGAGAATGTAGTTCGTAGTTTCTGCGAATAGATGAGGACTGATGTCTATTCAGATGCATTTTTAGTAAACGTTTCAAATTTCTAAAATGAGAAAAAATTGGATACTTGATCATGCAGTTTTATGCATTTTCTTCATACATTTTAAATTAAATGAAGTGTTGTGTTTGTTATTTATATAACAAAGGTTTATATATACCACGTGCCACGCCATGCGACGCGCCGCCAGGCCACGCCACGTCACGCCACGCCACGCCACACAACGCCACGCCGATTAACCAAGGATGATTCGGGAACGCAAGGTCATCCGTTGCAAAGCAACCCCTTCCACCCTCTTTCTTCTCACAAACAAAACGACACAAATGCATGCACAATAACATTGAAAGCTATTCTTTACAGTGTTAACAAGTACAGATTTCATACTCTTCACCCATTGTCATCCACAAAAACCTACCTATTTTACAACTCCTTACAAAATATCCACACATGCAACTTTGCTACATGTCCATCTATCTCTTTGCAAGAACCATAGAACACAGAATTACCAAACATAGTCTCATGACATCATAGTGACGCCAGATTCATGTATTCTGTTTTTATGATGTGAACATGAACTAAAATCTTAATTACTATTTATTTCATAATTTAGCATTTAAACGTTATAATGGGAGCAGTGTGTGACGTCATTGTTTTGTGACGTCACATTACCGTATGTACACCATTGTGTTATCATGGCAACCACATCTACAGAAGATCACAACAAATTAAAAACTTGTTCGATGGTATCCCAAACATTGTCTCCGAAAAAGGAGGGTTGATTTTCTAAGAGCAGGTGATCTGCCTACCTGTTCCTCTGACCATTCTTATACCACTCAATATAATAGTACCATCCCATTCTTATATATTATGTCATTCTATCTGTCATGCCATAAGAAATTAACTGTAATAATATGAAAGAATCGGATGGCCCTCAACTATTTTGAGTACTGTAGCATATATGAAAAAAAACAATAAACCCGTCTCTTGATCAAGGTTCATCAGAGCATGTATACGATGAATACTTTTATCCAGAGGAATAATCAAACATTTTGATTCTTCAAAAACATATTGAATCACAAACATACTTTTGTAGCAGTCCAATCTCTAAATGTGATGTTTGACTGCTTATCAGTCATAACAGTTGATACTCAAAATACAGATGCAGATTTTCAGTAGAAGACTTCAAGTTTTTAATTTTAACATTTAAATATATGAATTTATTTTTCTGCAAAACACAATGCTCGAAAGCGAGTCCCCCTTGAGACATTACCAAGAGAAATGGTAAATGATGCCACAGGCTTGTCTGGGTCCCTGAAGTCCCTCCCTGTTAAACTCTTACTGTTTGTAATACAATCATAATACAACCATTAAACGTCCGCTATTACGGTCGGTCGCGCGGTGAAGCACTTTCTTACCATTTCAACGAGACAGTATACAAGATGTCCTACTCTTTGTGGCCAATCATGTGACACTGTCATCTCTTTCCGGACAAGCTATTAATACTGGTATGTATAGGCAGGCTGTCTGTCTCTCCTAACGTCAAGGACACGATGGAGACTACTGAAGCAGTGATGGCTGCTATTAGCCCTCCCATTATCAAGCCTTCAAACATCGCCAACAAACACAACCACTGCATGTACCTCTAATTCCGTCTGGCCATTAATATGCCGATAAATCTACAAGCTCTACACATAATGAGGATTTGGTCTCGATGGATGCATGACTGAATGGGCTAATGGCACAAGGAACTGTATTGTCTGACCATTCAATCTCGACTCGTACATCGTAACTACTCTGGGTAGTAAAAGATTAGCACTGGGCGGACACAAGCGATGCAATAGCTATGAAATGGGCTAATCAAAACTCGGCCATTCCTGCCTGTCTTCATTATGTGCTGGGGCTGTGTGATCTGCAAACTGGGTCACTAAGATTTCTTTTCAATTTCACCGGGATAGAATTAAATTGAAAAATAGAATTAATATAATGAAATGAATATTTTTTACTGAAGGATGCACAATATTGTAAAACCTAATCAGATTTTATGTGCTGCAGTGTGGATCCAAACGTGGCTTCAACTCCATGCTCAGTTTTCCGTTTCCAGCTCAGACGCATTGTTTAACGGTCCACACACATGATAGCAATCGTTTTCACATAGTGCAACCCCATTAATCCAGACTCTGATAGTTAGAAACCCCAATAACCCGAACGATTACTGTTGGATACAGCTGTATATAATTAAAAGGACATTTATAGAGCATCCATGGTCTTATAAGGAAGGCGATTGCGCTAAATATTGCTATGTCCGGATTAACGAGGTTCACTGTACAACACATGCGAGAGCGGATATATGACATGTAAAGAAATAGAAGGCATATAGATGACAAGGACAAGGCGGATTTTCATTCACTAATCATCAACACCAAAACAAACAATGAATCCCCCTAGTCTTGCCCCGGTTGGAATTTTACTGTGAGGATAGTACATATACACACAAAGGACATCACTGATTCGTTAATCCGGAAGTTACACTGGGGACGCATCCGTCTTGACTAACAAGGTTTCGCTGTATATCACTTATTCTTTCTTTCATGTGCTTGAAAATAACAAACCTTCTTTAAACACCTCACTTTATCTCTTCCTGTTGATATCGATAAATTCTTCCATCTGTGTGCTAAGCTACAGTATACACTTACAACATGACAAGTGATCAGAGAAAAGAGGCTTGATACATTGTCTCCTGATTGTGTGGGATTGACTAATGCATCTTATCCACTTAGGCCATATTTACAGACAACGCAGCGACATACAACATGTTCAAGACAACGTCCTTCTACACAAGAGCAATACATATAACGTTGAGCGTCCTTGATACTCTTTGGCTTCCTGTGCATCCTCCACTGCATGTTGACACATCTCCTTCAGCCTCCTCCTCCGCAGCCAACCAGTCTAACGGTATCAGCATCACCAACTCAGGAAGACCTTCTTCTCCAGTTCACAATCACACACACTCATCGTTGTTAGTTCGGCCATTCCAACGCTTCACAGTAAACACAAATGGGCTGGAATACTTCAACAGTGGATCATCCTCCTTGTTTTGGGCTCTGTCATCCATTAGCTTCGTGATGGTACGTCTACCATTAGAATGGTTATGCCAGGGCTTCCAATTCAGACATTGCATCACGAGCACTGTCCTCGATACCAGAAGAGGTAGCCCTCCCTGCTAGGCCTCTCGATATCTGCAAGCACAGCGAATATTTCTTGTTCAAGGAGTGCACGCTTTGATGTCCATGCTTATCCAAAAGGTACTCTACCTTCTCGAGAAGAATTGATCTATTTGTACACCACGTTCAGCCCTTTGTCTAAGGGCAATCAATTGCCCCAGACCGACATCAGCTAACATGGGACATGAGACTGCAAATTGATCCCAATCTGCAAGAAAAGTTGAAAGTCGGACTTTTGAAAAGAAAAGCATACAGAACATGTTCCATGAAGGAGTCTGTTCTTTTGATGTTGGGCAAATCGGGAGTAATGGTGAAAAACATGTTTGTCAATGAAATGGAGATTCAGATTGAACATTGACCTGAATTCATTTTGTTTCTTGTTACTAATTACGATGGGCCATATTGCCTGGAATAGACATTCTGATTCTGTAACTGATTAATTCTACCAGCAGATACTAAACGCGGAACCCCTTTCATCAACTGAGAATTCTTTGATGCCTTTGAAAGTACAATCGTATCCAGAGGCTTTTTTTTATCACCATTGATGAAATAATATAATCTTTTCGCGCTTCAGGGACTTTGTAAAATTCGAAAACATACTATTATCAGAATGGCCAAGCTCGGCATCGAATACTTTGAGGAATAATACATTGTGGTGCTTATCATGTTCTCTCATGTTCATTCAAGCCCGACAATTAATCAAACACAATTCATATCAGTCATTTGACTTAGTTTTGTTAAGTTCAGTAACCAGACCAGTTGTTTAACGCTACACTCACCAATATTCCAGCTTTATGACGGCGGTCTGTGTAGAATCGAATCTGGGCCAGATAATCCAGTGATTGACATCATTAGCCTCGATCAACACAACTGGGATACGATGACATGAATCAACCAAGTCAGCGAGCCTGACCCACCGATCCCGTTAGTCGCCTCTAACGACAAGCATAGTCGCCTCTAACGCCTAGCAGGGATTGCTGAATACCAATTCTCTACCCGGATCTTCACGGGTCTAAAACGTACTTTGCGTTTATCTATTGTCTGAACCGCCTCTTTGACAGGCGGTATTCCATAGCTGGAGTTTCTTGACCTTAATTGCGTAAATGTGCAGAGAGTACGACTGACGTGGGTTCTGACAATTAACAGCGTATTTGTCGTTGCCTTACCTGAATTAATTGCTGAGTGTATGTTTGTCCGCTAAAAGTACATTTGGTACCGAAGGAGATGGAGTTGGAGCCTGAGTTGGAGCCGAAGTCGGAGCCTTACATTTAGTTGGAGCCGTAGTTAAAGAAGACGCGGTATGATCATCTCAGAAGTTGGCCACAACAGAAGTCCATTTGTCACACATGGTCCACGTTCACACATGGTCTATTATCACACATGGTCTAAGTTCAGACATAGCCTAGGCATGTACCAACGAGGCGAACACACAGGACATAACACAAGCCCCCATGAATTGGAATCACAAATAACACAAGTGAACCAGTCTTGTTCTTGGTTCTTTAAACAAAAGCATTGTTTCTTTGGTTGAAGAAATATAGCACCATTCTGAATAAGGCATGAACGTTATCTTCAGTGATCGTTATCCACCTCTGAAAGACAAAACGGAATTTTATTAATATCCAAATTATATTTTAAACCTAATATCTTGGTATTCGTTTCATTCTTTATTGGTAATCTGGTTTAGATAAACATGTCAAAGGAAAGTAGAAGATGTGTAAATTGAAGAAGGTGTATATTGGGTTTAAGTATTGGGCTCAGGTCAGAGAGGTTATTGCTAGACTAAGTGAATCAAGTTTCTTTTAAATGAGATTTCATTCAATCAGTGAGGGAAATTTTATCAGTTATCTAATCAGATTATCGTATTTGAACCACAATCTGTTGATAAATGTGCTCATCACTTTCAGCCTCTATTCGATTTTATTATATATTTATTAGTGTATCCAGGTCAGACGGTGATAAAGGTAAAAAGTGCTGACTTGAAGAAAATGTTGATGGGCAGATGCTGGACTACAAAAATAGCCTCAGACAGTAGGTGTGTAGGCGATATCGAACCATGAGCTCAACACACTCTGTCTGTCAATTCTAATGCAGTTATTCCCAGCTGATTTTCTTTCATTGACAATGGCGAATGCGGCTTGTATTTTAGTAGTGTGTGCCTTTCATGCACTTGTGGCACGTGTTCTTGGTGGACAGCTGGGAACGGTTTCACAAAGGAACATTAGTCCCATCGCCTGTGTTACCTCCATACTTTAACATAGACCTACGACCCCTTTAAGGTGTCTATGTAATCTGTTCTTACGTCTTGGAGAGACTGTGAATGCACGAATATTGTTTTATGCCGCTTTCAGCAATATTCTAGCACTATAACTGGAGCGGACAGTTGGTTTCACACATTTTAAAAATTTCTCGAAACAAACTGGCCTTAAGTGTTAAGAGTGAACGCTTTTATATTAACGGGGGCAGGGCTGGCTCATTTGTCTAAGGCGTGGCAGTTCGCTGTGGGCAGGGCAGAAATCTGCCAAGTGTTCGGGGTGGCCTAGTGGTTAAAGCGTTCGCTCGTCACACCGAAGACCCGGGTTCGATTCCCGACATGGGTACAATGTGTGAAGCCCATTTCTGGTGTCCCCTGCCCTGGTATGGCTGGAATATTGCTAAAGGCGGCGTAAAACCATACTCACTCACTCACTCACTCACTCACTCACTCACTGTCAAGTGTTCGAATGAGTGTTCGCCCCGATTATGTCTCAAAGTTTGTCAGCATAATACCCGTGCTCGTGGGTTTCACCGAAGTGGTGAACGTCAGAGGCCTGCATCGCTTCGGGATTTCCTCCCACGTTAAGCTGACACGCCGTGATATAATTGGAATACAGTTGAGAGCGGCCTAAAAATTAAGCTCACTCATTCAACTGCATTAACTTCAGCTTAAAATGATTCAGATCACAGACAAAGTACATTGATTAGGTTAGGGCGATACAGGATACATGTAGGCATATCATAGTTTGTCTTAAATTGAGTGAGTGAGTGAGTTGGGTTTAACGCCGCTTTTAACAGTATTCCAGTTATATCGCGGCGTGTCAGCTTAATGTTGTGGGAAGGCCCGAAGTGATTCAGGTCTCAGACGTTTACTACTTCGGTGAAACCCACGAGCACGGGAATGGTGCTGACAAACCTACAAACATAATCAGGGCGAACCGGGATTCGAACCAACAATCATAGGTTTCTGGCGTGCCCAAGGGACGCAACTCTGCACAGCGAATCGCGGCGCCTTAGACGACTGGGCCACCCGTACCCCCTGGGCGATATAGGATACATGTAGGCATATCATAGTTTGTCATAAAATCAGGGGTAGCTAGTAATGCAATAGATCAAGGTCATTCCGCATTAAGTAAATTTACTTGAAGTCCGTTCTTGATTTCTTTCTTCAACTTTATTTGTATGAAAACGAAAGATTAACGTCGACCTGTTCGCACACGCATAACATGAAAACTGGCAGGTACCGAAAATGACCGACATCAATTGTCACACAAAAGCACGTTAATCTGACAGTCTCTGGTTATGAATAACTGATATCCATATGGTATAGTGGGAATTGGAAAGAGTGATGCTCTACTGTGGTCTAGCTGTTAGAAACATAAACATACATATGTAGTATTCGTACCACATATTGATCTTAGCACAGCAACTCTATGGAGGGCTGTGCAGACATTAAAAGAAATTATCTGCGTCATCTTAATGAGCGATGCTATTCCATGATATGAACATGGAGTTATCACATCTGATAGTAACTGATCCGGTGCCACCGGTAGATCAGGGCATGCTTAACCTTTTCGCAAACACCTGCTCTCATCCCTGACTTTCAGTGATCAATCAACACATTGACTTGTACATCCTTCTGGAATCTGTTTCGGCAGATTCGAGACTAATGATTCTTTGGTGTTGAAGTTTTGAATTTAACATATGTGGGTTACAATAGCTGATGCGCTAAGATCGCAAATACACGTTACAGTGAGTGCGTGAGTGCGTGAGTGCGTGAGTGCGTGAGTGAGTGAGTGCGTGAGTGCGTGAGTGAGTGAGTGAGTGAGTGAGTGAGTGAGTGAGTGAGTGAGTTGTTTTTTACGCTGCTTTGAACAGTTTTTCAGTTAAGTCATGGAATGGACATGGAGCTGAGAAACCGATAATCCTAAAAAGAGATAATCTGGGATGCGAACCAATGATCATAGGATCCTGGCAAGACTAAGGGACGCAACTCTGCACGGCGATGACAGATGACAGGGAGTACCGTATACCGTCACTCACTTTATTACGTTAAGGTTATGTTTTAATGTTCATTATTTGACTGTCGTAATAACGGCATTACGCTGAACACACCGACTATTAATCTGTATTGAAATAAAACGATGTGCCATGTGTTTTGTCGGTGAAGACTTTGTTATAAACACAAAAACCTTGCGTCACGGAAGATAACTCTTACCTCTCTGAACTGTTTCCGGTCCAGGAGAGGTGGGAGGCAAGTAGACTTCTGAGACTGCGCAGAAAGGAGTTGGTATCAGGGTTCTTTGAACCTCTCGTTTACTGAAGTATAAACAGACACGATACAGACTTTTTAAAAAAAATTAACTTGCGAAACGTCAAGTTAAGTGAGGGACCAACCAACTTTAGTCCCTGGTGATGGGAAGGTTGGGTGTGTTGAGAGTTCTATTAACGACAAAAAAATTCACAAAACAGTTTAGTTTAGGCTACCCAGCAAATCTAGTGTACATATACTGCTCTTGTAAAATGAGACGTCAAATTATTTTTACAGTGTTTTCATGAGAAACATATCCAATCCCAGAATATGAAATCGACAGTCCCTTAACACGCAAAGATTTTCCAACTTTCCAAGACTACTTCAATAAATCTACTTTTTGGTTAACCTTCCTTACTTATTGAAGGTTGGGAAACAAAAAAATTAAAAAATTAAAACAACAACAAATATGTGAACTAATGATATACCAAGGTAAGTATTAGCTGGTTGTTCCCCTCCATAACAACTAAATGGTAAATTTCGATTGTTTCTTGCTCCCTGCGTTATTAAAAGGGGTACGATAAGCCACAGTCTGGTGCCAATTTCAAGCCGACAGCTAAATCAAGACATAATTATCAGTGCCCTATCTGAAACTGAGACAGTGGTTTACGGTAATTACTAATGCCAATCTGACAATCATTAGAAACTAGCAGTCAGCAGACAAATCACATAAAACACGTTAGGACGGAATAAAACACGTTAGGACGGAATAAAACACGTTAGGACGGAATAAAACACGTTAGGACTGAATCAAACACGTTAGGAATGCCAAATCACCGAAGCCTTGTCCCCTAAGGTAAATATTTACACGTGGATTTTGTGTGGGACCACATCTCGAATGTTAATCACCAAATAACGCTAGGCAGTGGAGCACATCTGTATGTAGCCTAACAAAATGAATAAAAAAGGACTTACTTTGCAATCCAGCCATTTCTTCAAGAACTAATAGTTCGTATGATCAAAAAATGCATGGGCAATATACATTAATTGAACGAACAGTTCTTTGAGATTAAGCTCACCTTTATAAAACATATCCTTTCCCATTGAGCAGCTACGAGATTGCTGAAATAATAACATTGAAATGTCGTTAGGCTATAACCCCGTGGAGGAATTACAGAGACATGAAAATATAAAAGATATATGCAGCTATGCTGCAACGTTAAGCAATAATTGTACCAGTCCTCCACCAGTGCTTCCTCTACAGTTACTCGGCCTTTATTGAAATTGATTTTTCGCGTTGATTTAATAATCAAATTTTCCACAAGGATTTATTAGCAGATGGCCAAGGATAATTGTTTTTCATCTCAATAAAATACAACAACAATTCATTCAATTTCATGAAAGCAAGCACACAAGGTTTCTATTGTTGCTGTTGCAATATTACACTCCGCTCGCTGACATGTAGTTCATGATTCGACACTAATAAAACGTAATTTTAGGATTTAGGAATAAAACGCCACATGCAAGCATTATTTCTTATGGGCAATCCAGCAGGCTTCATGGCTATATCCAGTAATAGAAACTCATACGGTTTTACCACTACAGTGATTTTCAATTAAAGCTACTTTAAATTCAGTCGATTTATTGGACACGGCACAATGGGTAGGAACGTAAGTACACAAAAAACTGAAAATATGTCCAGTTCTGAATGCCACAAGTGCTTGTTACTCCAAGAGATATAGTTTACCGTTTCCAATACACTTAGTACTCTGCAACATGATCACTTTGCGTCATTTGACGTGACAGGAGTCGAATGCTATATTGTTGGGGTTTTGGAGAGACTTAATACAACAGGTCACCTGTTTTCGTTAGTATTTTGTGGAAATAATTAAATTATCTTATGGCTTGAAACAAATTATTTTCAAAGTAAAACAATGTTTTTCTTACTCACAAAACCCAGTAACAATAATAGCAAGGGAAGATAATTCTTTCGTAAAATCCGGACACTTCTCATATCCATTGAAGTAATATGAAAACCGGGAACCTTTTTACCGGAAAGAAACTGTAGATGATCGGCACGATTGTGTGCCTTAAAGTAGGTCAGTCAATTGATGTCGTTCCTATTGAACCCATTGCATCTGTATCGTACAACCTAATATTTCAAGGCGGACACGGGTGGCCCAGTCGTCTAAGGCACCGCGATTCGCTGTCCCTTGGGCACGCCAGAAACCTATGATTGTGGGTTCGAATCCCGGTTCGTCCCGAATATGTTTCTAGGTTTGTCAGCATCATACCCGTGCTCGTGGTATGACTGGAATACTGTTAAAAGCGGCGTTAACACCAACTCACTCACTCACTCACTGCTCAATATTTCAAGTGCTAAAAACCTCGTCCCTCATTACTACAGACTTTAATTTGTGCTACCCTGGCCAAAATATTTAACATTGTCAACAATGGACTTTCATTGACCTAAATGGACACTCATTGGCCTCAATAGTCTTGATTGATTTCAATTATTTTACACTTGCTCAAGATAGGGTAAATGCGTATTTTCGTTACGAACATGCAGCAAATTCCCTATTTTGCTTGAGGTGACTGGAACCTTTTCCTACTCGGCTGGACATATTCTCGAAAGAAAAAACGTAAAATAATTACTGTTCGGTCAGATTGCATCATTTGACCAACACGTGAGGTTTCACATGCAGGACATACAAAATTTATATTGGTGCGGACAGTGCGTTGGTTGAGTGGCATATCAGGCCGTATATTCCCCGCCATCAGCATCCGAGGGTTGTCTCTCGTCGCTTGGTTTAAAACTCGCAATGCCTCGATCTGTGAACAGAATAAAATATTCAAACTTTTATCTGCTGAATTATTGATGCTGTGAATTGATGGAGCCTCAGCAACAAAATATGATAATAACAATATTTACAATACACAATATCTGTTCATCTTTTCAAATAGCAAGACTTGCATGTGATATGTGTCACAATTTATGATTTGGGGTTGAAATTATGGGAACAATAAACAAGAAGATGTCAGTGAAACCCCTGATCCACTGCATTGTTATCAAAAGGAAAGGCGGTGATCGGAAAAAGTTTACAAAAGGCAATGACTAAAGGGTTTTCATATGCTCTGTTTCAGTAAGTAATACTGGGATGACTTACACACAATGACAGCTTCAAAAAACCAAGTGATTTAAGAGAATACGAAAATAACTATATAAACTTAAATAAACATGGTAAAATATCAAAATCTGCTTAAAATGTTGGTATTATGGTTCACATTGTAGTTTATTAACATACTGCATCTGAAATGGCGTAATGATAGCTGCAAATATGGCTGCGAAATTTGCAAACTTGCCAAATCCAATATGTCTGCCATGTGGGCGTACGATAGCTGCAAATATGGCTGCGAAATTTGCAAACTTGACAAATCCAATATGGCTGCCATGGTGGCGTACGATAGATGCAAGTATGGCTGCGAAATTTGCAAACTTGACAAATCCAAAATGGCTGCCATGGTGGCCATGTTTAGAATCGGATCAGAATTCTGTGCATATTTTCAGACAAACTTGTTGGAATCATCCATGGGATCATGTTTAACCATCATAGGCTTAGTTGTTTCAAACTACGTTGATTGACTGCGTAACACAACATTATCAGCTCACAGGTATTTGGTTCTGATGAGCTTTTTTTCTACAGACTTAAAAAAAAACACCTTGCGAGAAAGAAATAATCCGATAATATCCACCCTTAGATACCATAGATAATCTCACCTGCTTTTTACTGACGTGTATGGGTTTATTTAACACCAGCCACGTGACCGTCTCAAAACAACCCGGATGTGTCATCGAACCCTCATATGTGACGTAATTGTCAGTCGCCGGGAGAAGTCTCGACAACTGTAGGCCACGTAGTAGCGTCACATCGCCTGAAACATTGATACACATCAATGTACAGTGTATATTGGTGAGGGGGGGGGGGGGGGGGGGGGGGGGGGGGGGGAGGGATTCCGATGTGATGAAAGGATTGACTGTATATATATATATATATTTGTTTAATAACAAGGTATTTTTGTGGCAGACAATATGTTTTATCTCACGGGTATGGTGCTGCCCGATGGTAAATCTGAAGGAATCAAATCTCAAGCTTCTGGCACAGGACTGCAATGCCTGACACAAATGGGCCGTCCGTGTCCCCATGGTCGTCGGTGTGGAATATCGTAAGCAGCGTATATGAATTGTGGCTCACGAATACAATAAATACTCTTTTGATAGCCCACTCTTTATATCCAAGAATATTAATCTTGTTTTATATCTGGCCGGCAATTTCTGGCCGGGAATAGACTGTTACAAAATACAGTTGAATAACACCCTCATTATATGAAACAATATTCGCCTATATCTCTTGAGTGAGTGAGTATGGTTTTACGCCGCTTTTAGCAATATTCCAGCAATATCACGGCGGGGGGCACCAGAAATAGGCTTCACACATTGTATCCATGTCGGGAATCGAACCCGGGTCTTCGGCGTGACGAGCGAACGCTTTAACCACTAGGCTACCCGACCCCCCCTCAAATCATTTTGATTTAATAACGAAATAATAACATATGCATAGAGAAGATGTTTAACGGCGCACTTATGAATATTTCACGGTGGCATGCAAATACATGTTATGGAGTCTTGGCATGACAAACCAATGATTGATATCATGAACAACGATCCACGCCATCGAGTTACGATGACATGCATCAACCAAGTCACGGGACTTTATTCTTATTTCAGTTTTAATTTCAATGGCAAATCACGTTTGCCTTTGATTTAGGTTTCATTAAACTAAAAACCATTCGTCTACATTCAAGAGAGATACAATCAATGTGTTGTGTTCTTATTAAATACCCTTGATTGTGTGGGATGAGGCTGAATGTGTGGGATCAAACAATATAATGTACACTGTCACGCAAAAGACATTTTCAAATCCTTTGAGAAGCACAGGACCTTTAAGGTTAGACTGGTTGACATTTGAACGTGAGAAGATATCTTTAGTTCACTTTGGAAATATTACCTGGACACTAGAAGACTTATTACATTTTGACTAGACGACAGTAATACCAGAATCACCTCAGTCACAGATGAGAGTTAAAAGGGATAGAACAACGTGTGAGATCCACTTAAAGTTGGGTTGGGGGACCGATCATTTAATATTCAAGAAGGGGTTTGGGAACGGGCGGGGGTTAGAGATTTTTGTTCGAGAGTCTATTTCTTTCAGTCAGACATTTTCTTTTCCCGAACATCACATTATTGTTTCAGAACATCAAGTGTTCAGTGAACGATTTTTTTTGTAAATCCAAAGGACAATTTACTTTTTCGGGAAAAGATTACTTTTTTTGACAAAATGTCACAGCCTCTTTCGAATATCAAATGGTCGACCCCTAGCCATCGTTGCTTTATAACACGAGGCTCGTCCATTCTGAACGAGGATACTAAGTGACTCAGCGGTTGTAGTGAGTGTGTGAGTTGAGTTTAACGCCGCTTTTAACAGTATTCCAGTTATATCACGGCGTGTCAGCTTAATGTGGGAGGAAAGCCCGAAGTGATGCAGGTCTCAGACGTTTACCACTTCGGTGAAACCCGCGAGCATGAGTATGGTGCTGACAAACCTCAAAACATAATCGGGGCGAACCGGGATTCGAACCCACAGTAATAGGTTTCTGGCGTGCCTAATGGACTCCGCACAGCAAATCACGGCGCCTTAGACGACTGGGCCACCCATGCCCCCCTCAGCGGTTGCAAAAGAACATGATAATGTTTCCTATTCGATAAAAACCTACCATGTTCAGACATGTGGGTTATTCAAATATTTTTGGCTACCATTTCTCCGGGATACAATTTTACAGAAAATCCTTTCGAAGCCAAGATACCACAAGTCTGTTTTCGACTCTCAATTTGTTATTCTTTAAACAGCGTGGGCTACTGGGCAGAACAGTTTTTCAGCATCCCACGCTTGTCCTAAGAGCCGTCTCAAATGTGGAATCGGTGGTCACTTAGTGTGACTCCAACGGCGTGGTACGTCCTTCAAGCTACTAACCACAGCTTTACCTCTCATCGAGTCGATTATTTACGGTCGCCGTGATGAATCATTATTTATCATCCAAAACTGGCTCCCACAGGAGATATCGCTTGGATGAGATCAAGCGATATCTATACTGTAGATATCGCTGCAATGAATTTACATCACAATGATTTGCAGACCATTGTGACGTCACTGTTACCATGACGTCACAATCAAATGACATCACTAATGGCTCTGCTACTGAAGCTGTTTGCAGTACTTTTTACACTGAAGACACCGCTAATTACTGTCTACAAATTGAAAAAGTTGAAAGAATGATGTTGGATGATAAATAAAATCTCACCCTCGTGTCTTTTGATATCAAATATATCAATACTCGTTGATAAAAGTGTCAAAAATCGTCGGCAAGCCTCGGAATTTTTCCACTTTTATCAACTCGTGTTGATATATTTGGTATCAAAAGACACTCGCGTGAGATTCTCTATGTTGTGGCGTAAAATAACATGCATTCAGTGGGTGAGTTTGAAACCGAGCGAAATTCACAACTTTTAGTTGGAAACACATTTCATTTCCGGTAGAGATGGACATGAAACGACTTTAATAAACGAACGCTAAATATTGGCGTGTGTGAATGGGAAAATTTCACATTGTCAAAATAACTGCATTTCTGAAGCTAAGGTTAGGGCGACCTATTAAATTCGTTGAGTAATTACATCATTTCACTTGGAAGCCGTACGCCTTAATGTGAGATGAAAACGATCGCGTTGCCTCCTAAAGAAACATCTTATAGCAACTGTATTGACAAATAAAATGAATATTCTGAAACTACAAAGTTTGAATTTCGAATCGAGGCACAGATATTGAGTCGCATTTCCTCAGCTCGATATCATGCATATCCTTGATTTCAGGAGTACGAAGTGAGGATTGAGGTACGAAATGCGTTATAGAGATTGGCAAGAATTCAACTCTTACATTTACTTTAGCGTCTTCCGGGAAAAACAATCCAAGATAATAATGAGTAAAAAAGTACATTGATTCTGAGAAATTGACTACGCTTGTCCTTCGAGACAGCGGTGACAAACTCAATTTCCCAGAAGCCGTTTGTAGGCAAAAGACGAAAGGTAATGTCCGAAGAAAGTCATTTCGGTTTTTTCTATCTGATCTAATGCTAAAAGCATTCTAAAGAACATCATTGGATTACATCATTCGGTAAATGAAGCTGAATGTATTTTTGTTCGTTGTATTAACTAGCTGTGCTCTGGCGTGGAATGGGAATTTCCTCCTAAAAAAATACTCATCACAATTATTAAACGAACACATATATACGGAATTAAGAACATTTTTTCATGTGTGAAAAACAATTTAACCAGGATGGTGTTATAAACAATTAATCACAGTCTTCATTGGCGGCACAGTGTGGTAATATGTATGTCCCAGTTGAAATCAGGAAATTTAAGACTGATATTCCGAATTTTATAAATGATGACGTCACGCTCTTGTCCTTTCAGTTAATTCTGAGCCATAAATTCACTGGCCGTTCTGAAAGTGCATGTTAAACAAGTTAAACTGGAACAACTACAGGTGATTATGCAAAATGATAGAGAAATTCCATGCGTTGATTCTACCCCTGAATCAACAGATTCTCATGATTTTAATCATTACGTATTTAGTCTTCGAACGTTCGTTTGTCAAGGTCAAATATGGCTGGCATAAAAACAAATCTTTGCTTCGCAATATTACAAAAAGATGTTTGTCTGAGATACAAAATTGAGAAGAATATAGCCTTTACAAATGGTAATGTAGCAACATTTTATAAATCATGGATCTTTTATCCCATATTGTTTGAAGAAGCAGAACAGCAATAACATATGTATCTCTTTCTCATATTTGTTTCTTGCCAGGATCAGTGTTTGAATGATATTTTGAATGCTTGACTGTGTGTATGTTTTGTTATATTTCTTAAAAATCACCTTGGCACCATTTCCAATACGTGTATTTAATTTTTCCCAAATGTATACATACATTGTCTTCAGAATGTGAGGGTGACCATTGCCCTGGATTGCCATCCTCCTCATGATCATGTAACAGGGAAAAGGTGAAATAAAATATATAAAACAAAAAATATGGCTGGCATGACTACGTTCCGGGGAGGTCATATTCGAACACTAGTATTCAGGCCAAGAATGTTATGTCAGGTTATATGGTACAAGTGTCCGTTTTAAAATTGTGATGAGTAATGTCAGTGAAATATCACCAACGTTGTGTTATTACCGCAGTGAGATAACTCCCTGTGAAGCTCTGCAGGGAGGCAACAATTACCTTTATATTTAGTTTTGTTCATGGCTTTTAGTAAAACTCCGAATTCTGAATGTGGTCTCTCGGTTATCTGAAACGAAATAGGTACAGAATAATACAAAATTCCATTTTAACAACGTACACAGCTAGGTAAAGTTATAACTGAATGACGTCGACGAAGTATTAACGTACAGATAAATGAACTCATTCGTTACTGAGACCCGAGTTCGACTTCCAACCAACTGCCGTAATAGAGGTGGAAACCCTTTTTCCAGTGATTAAACTACTTGGCTTTGTAATATACCGAAATGTTTATCATTCGATTATGTTTCCAGAGAATAAGCAGTCTCGATCGTCCGCCAAACAGATTCCAATGGGCATGAAAGACAAAATAGTTGTGAAAATTGTATGAATGGATCACTGAAAATCAGAGCTGACACCAGGTGTTCGAGAAAAGGGTAATCATGTCCTGCCCAACTAAGGGTCTGGAAGATTTAAGACGTCAATCAGTAATGTGATCCTCCTTGATCTAAGCTATTTGATTTTGGGTGAGTGAGTGAATGAGTAAGTTGGGTTTAACGCCGTTTTTAACAATATTCAAGTCATATCACGGCGTGTCAGCTTAATGTGGGAGGAAAGCCCGAAGTGATGCAGGCCTCAGACGTTTGTCACTTTGGTGAAACCAACGAGAACGGGTATGGTGCTGACAAACCTAGAAACATAATCGGGGCGAACCGGGATTCGAACCCACAATTATAGGTTTCTGGCTTGTCCAAGGGACGCAACTCTGCACAGCGAATTGCGGCGCCTTAGACGACTGGGCCAACCGTTCCCCCATTTGGTTTTGGAATATGAGACACAAGTTCTTGGAAGTTACATATGATATCCCTTCCATCTAAACACCGTCCACCTACTTGGGCAAATACAGCGATGATGGTTAGACCTCGTGGAGACCTCTTTGCTGTTGACATATTGTTGTACAAGTCTGTGTTGTAGGCAAATATCTGGATCTGAAAACATAAGGCATGCAATTAACTTCAGCCACAATCCATCCACTATCTAACCATCTTTCCATCAACTATTTTCCCAAGAATCTATCTATCAACCATCCTTCTTGACGTGTGTTGCACTCCATTGTAGCAATCCATTGTGGTAGTATTTGCCAGCCGTCGTTGTTCTTTGTCCGCCTTTCGCTCATAACGTTGCCTACAATTTTATTTCAACATATTGATTCAACTGTTAGCTCCCGGCTCTTCTTAAGCACAAACACACGACTTTACTCGTTTAATCACAAATCTATCACATACATCTTTCAATTTTTTTCTCCGAAATGTGCGGGCTTAAACTCTGGTCTTATCCAAATATTCCTCATCAAGTGTCGCCCTTTCGACGAGGAGCGCCTCCAGGCTCTTTTCTTTCTACATTGTGACATAGATATGCCTTTGCAAGTCTTCTTTCCACAGTAAGAGACGTCTTGTATATTATGAAGTGTGCTATTGACGCATCTAGAAGTGGGGATGCCTTCGTCACAATTTGTCTCTAGCAGAGGTATCATTTCTGGACAATAGATGAAACAAAACACTCACAGTATCCCCATTTGCTTACACCGACCTCCCATCATCCAATTAGCTCACATCAAAGGTAGACCATATCCTTTCTATCGCCCATCAAAACCTTCAAACTCGATCAATGCAGATTTTTCTTATTTCTGTGAAAGTTCAGTTTGCAGAAGGTAATTCAATTTGCGAAAGCTCTCACCACGGAAACCATAGTTAGACATAAACGAAGAGGAATTCGCAAAAACATACAAAACACATTTATTTTGATTCCGAAATGAGAGTCTCTTTCTGATCGGATCCGTATCCGTTCCAATTTGATTTCTACTTTTTATAACACCCCTTAAATCTAATGAAGTAGCAACGGTTAAGATTACTATCAGATTGAAACTTATTATGTCCAAACATCTGTATTCATCGATCTAGAGGTTGAAGGGCCCTGTCTCCTGTAGATCGGAATGTGGTAATTATACTATGTCCGTCTCCATCACGGCAACATCTACTACAGGCCTTCAACGTCTTGTCCCGACCCTCTCGCTTTATAGACCAGATCTTCACAATTCCGACGGATTAGAAACCAGCAAACCCCAATCATAGCACTCCCTGCCTCGTATCTCTGAGATGACTGAAAAGACTTCATTTTCTGACATCAAATACTTTTAGTTGAAACTTTTCTTTTCAAAGTTTGAATCTGTTTGCGAAATTGATCAGCTAAAAAGGGTTATACCTCGCTCTATACCTGTCCAAATACATAAAACAATGCATAAATCAAGGGAAGACGCTTTTTAGAGTAATCACATTAGACGGAGGACTAGGCTTCCTGGCTTGCCTTCATTCGGCTAATAGAATTGTTCTCTTACCAAGTCAGATGACTTCTTAGCTGTTTCAGGATGTATGGACTTTAATTGATTTAAAAAGTAATCTAAACTTTACATACCCTCTCAGAGGACTCTGTTCATGAAATTTGTCAGCGTATTTTTTCTCTTTTTTTGAGATATTCTGGCATGATCTCTAAATGATGCAATTTGCAAATATTGCCGATACATCCGTCAATGTCAGTGTTTTACTGTTTCATTGGATCTTATTCACGTAGGATGAATACCATCGACCAGAATGAATGCACTGCTATTTAGTATTAGTGCGTAAAGGAGAGTCGAGCAGTGATTTCTGGTTTCGTAATCGCATGGAACCATATGCCCCCCCACCCCCTCCAGAAAATATATATAGATACAATTCGGCATTATCTTTGAGGTCATTAATAGAAGGTAACAACTCGGTAAATATATTCTCCAAAACGTGAGTAGATAACATTTCGGCATATGTTATCTTAGACAATCGTTAAAGAATTACAATGAAAGAATTCGTTATTAAGGAAAAAGGTGGGCATATATATTATCTTAGACATCCGTTATAGAGGTAACAATTCGGCAAACATTAAATATTAATTAAACCCGCCACTCTTTTTCGAACCAAGTAAGTGTATGTTTGTTGCCTAACGTCGCACTCAGAAATAATCCTTATACATGACGGCGGCCTGTAAACGATTGAATCTGGGCCAGACAATCCAGTGATTGATAATAAGAGCAATGATCCATGCCGTCGGGGTACGATGCTACGGTATCAACCGAGTCACTCACATTGACCACCCGATACAATACAGTATGTTTCATTGAGTGATGAGGTGTGAAGCCTCCATCTAAGGGTTAATTAAGGGGTAAAAAGATTACTTTTTTTTACAAAATGTCACAGCCCCTTTCGGATATTAAATGGTCGACCCCTAGCCATCGTTGCTTTATAACACGAGGCTCGTCCATTCTGAAAGAGGATACTAAGTTACTCTCTCAGCGGTTGTAGTGAGTGAGTGAGTTGAGTTTAACGCCGCTTTTAACATTATTCCAGTTATATCACGGCGTGTCAGCTTAATATGGGAGGAAAGCCCGAAGTAATGCAGGCCTCAGACGTTTACCACTTCGGTCAAACCCACGAGCACGAGTATGGTGCTGACAAACCTAGAAACATATTTGGGGCGAACCAGGATTCGAAACCACAATCACAGGTTTCTGGCGTGCCCAAGGGACGCAACTCTGCACAGCAAATCGCTGCGCCTTAGACGACTGGGCCACCCGTGCCCCCTCCTCCGAATGTATACCATAACATTACTGGAATGACTTAACCAGGACTTTGACTGTGTAAGTTGGCTTTAAAGCTTGGTTGTAAGCCAAGTGTTTAATGCCATGCAATAGGTATAAGATGTTCATGATCCAAAGCACCAAAGCATCTGAGAAATGCAGACGCCATAAGATGGAGTAGCTCGTCGGTATATTGCTCGGCATGAAGAGGAAATTCACGATTGGAAAATCGAAATCGAATCTCTCCTCAGACAGCTTGGTACAGTGGTTGCCATCCAGAGCAAAAAGACTTGACTCAGTATGTGTCATTAGGCTCCGATGTCCCGTGTCGCTACTTTTGCGATCAACCAGTTTTTTCTTGCACAGATCAGTGATACAACGATACGCTTTGTAGAGCGTGAGTGAGTTTAGCTTCAGGCCTCCTTGAACAGTGTTCCAGTTATTTCACGGCGTCTCAGCTTGATGTGGGAGGACAACCCACAGTGATGCAGGTACAGAAAGACAAACACTTTTGTCAAACCCACGAGCACGAGAATGGCGCTGACAACCCTAGAAACATAATTGGACAGCGGGATTCGAACCAAAAGGTTTCAGGCGTATGATGGCAAAGGTCCCGTACGATATGAACCAATAACATTCCAGAGCCGATTCAATGAATTAATGACTCGTGAACTGTTTCACATCATTGAGACTGAGATTAGGTGAGATGTTACCACGCCTTTCAGGTCAGCATTTTCTTTTTATTGACCTTGACCTCTAAACCCATCACGTTCCTTAAGAATTCCCACAAGCCATGTGTAGGATACCCATAGCAGGATATCCTCTAATGTCCATAGTCTGTCAGTACTTTCCAATACAAGAATCACCGGAGGCAGTTAAATATCGTCAAAACAATAAAGAAGTCTTAAACATTGCTTTCTAGTTATATAGCTGGACTTACCTCAGCTGGAAAGGATTTGCCATCGATTGTGTGTTCTGACCCCAGGTCATCCTCGGTGTGGAAGTGTATCCTGATCTGCTGGACCACATACTTGTAGGACAGCGGGCCCTCCGTCACGTTCACCCTGGGCGAGTTGTTGGCAACCTTCAGTGTGATGTCGTGGCCGTTGTTTTGTAGATGGCCATGTATCTGTTGTAAATAATAATAATAATAATAATAATAATAATAATAATAATCATCATCATCATCATCATCATCATCATCATCATCATAATTATGATAATAATAATATTAATTTCAGTAATCAACTTGATAAATTGAATGATATTATTTCAGTCACTCCTAATGCAGTGCGGACTGCTCTTTGCATGACATTAACTGTTGCGTGTATGCTGCTGCTCGAACACTGGATGAACCTCATCCAGTTTCCACAAACAATGAACCACAAAAGGGTAATAAACAAAATCATCAAAAGAATAAGCGGTTCCAAATAAAACTAAATGAAACAAAGCAAGATATATCCTGGAAAGAACATTGCTTGAAATTACGTTCATCAGGACAATCAATGTCAAAACGACAAATATCAATTTGGAAAAAAAGTAAAAACAAAATAAGACAAAAAGAAAGACAAATGAGAAAATTGTAAATCAAATTCCCGATTATTTGAAGGCAAACTGAGAGATTAAAGAAAAAGAAAGTGGGACAAGAAAAATTAGTTTATAAAACAAAATTGAAAACAGTTTTACAGGCAATCGCAGTGATGATAAAAGCCCCACCATGCATTCCAGTGAAAGGGTTTGGAAACAGTTGTGGTCTATTCCCGACAACTGTAACCTCGAGGAACCATGGGTAGATGATTACAATGATAATGTACAGGGGACTATAAGGTCAACATTGTTGTGTGTCATTACATCCGATTGCCTGAAATATGTAATTAAAAAGTCCAAATCTCATACGGCGCCAGGGCCTGTTGGTATTCGAAACCAGTATTGGAAACTGTTCCCTTGTGTCCAAACACCATTACTTCATTGTTTAAATTCTCTTGGGGATACAGAGGATGTTCCGCCTTGGTTGTGCAATACTTTTCCCAAAGAAAGGTAATTCGACTGAAAAACTTCCGCCCTGTTACTTGTCTGAATACACAGTACAAAATATTAACAGGGTGTCTTACAGATCTTGTGTGATCATACTGCGCTTCAATGACATTTTTACATGGAGCAGAAAGGAGCCAGAAAGGTATATTGTGGTTGTAAGGATAAACTGATAGTTAAGAAAATGATCGTTGAAGAGGCTAAATCTTACCACCGTAACCTCTCAATGTGTTCGATAGACTGTTGAAAAGATTCTGTACCTCTCGAATTGATTTTGAAGTCACTGGAATATAGTGAGACCCCCCAGATTGACAAAATTCAGAAAAAACATGGTAAATATGCGGATCTCGCTTTCGAAATGTCACGCATGCGTCCCAAGTACCAAGTTGTCCGACTCCCCATTGTTCTCGGTGCCTTAGTTTTGGTACATCCCAATCTATTGACTGACATTGGGAGAGTACCCGGGTTTGCTACCAGGAATACAGCCCTTCTGACAATCTAGGTAATGCAGAAGGCTGCAGTGTGTGGGAGTCTTCACATACTCCGAAAAGTTCTCGGTGGGTTCGAATAGGCAGCGCTTCCTGGGAGAAGTCCCATTCGCTGTCTGGGCTGCGTGTAAAGGGGGCAAGGGCCTTTTTTAAAATTTTCATCTGTAAAAAATAATTATAATCCATATATAATGCGCCAAATTCCATTGACCAATTGAATGCTCATGGCACTATATTAACATTTACCCGGTCCATGGATCAGTGTGCACTCTATTTGTATTCTCGGCTCCCTGCGGAGTATACAATCCAAGCTTCCTGTGAGCCGCTGGAAGTTTTATACAGTCAAGCCGAACACGGTCACCCATCCAACGACTCTCCGCGACCAACGTTGCTAATTTCACTGATTTTTCACCTGGACCCACAGGGCCTCGTGCAACCACAGTTGTAGACATGTCAGCGAATGAGTGGAGGGTAACGTCGCTTTAGCATTACTCCAGCCGCATCACGGCGGATGGCTCTAAACTCGGACTTCAATCAGTTTACGAATGTGGGGAGTCGAACCCGAATCTTCGGTTTGTGTGTTTATCGCTCCTCTTAACAATATCACTAGATTTATCATGGCACGGGGAAAGTGAAGAGATACAACTCGACGTCAGAACATATGGATACTTATGTGGTGAGTGCGTTTATCACCGCTTCAAATACATTTGAATGATATTACGGAGTGTTGTTGCACTCATAACAAGGATCAATTTTGTCGTCTCTTGTAACACGCTCAGTTCTTTTACCACCTTTTAAGAAAATGTTAACATTACCATAACAGCATCTAGCATGCGACAATATACCTAGTTTAGCTGAAAGTGGAGTTGCATAACTTCATTGCCGTTTTTCAACCAAGAACATAAAATAGCCGATGGCTTACGACAACAGCTACGGGAACAAATCGAACCAAAGGCTCTCGTGGTCGAAAATGTAAATGTGAAACAAAAAATGCGCAACACGTGTTGCAACAGGTTCGTTTTCTTCTTTAATTAACTTTCAGACTTTAATATCTTGCAGCATATTGGAGCACAATACGTAAGTCATCATCTCCTTGGTGATCGCATCAATACTTACGCAACACATCAAATACAAAGTCTGAAAATGGATCAATCCACCGACACAAAGTGATATGAACGGCATGGGCCGAAGAACGAGGGGATTTCGACCTGAGGCTGATGCTGTTAACTGGTAGAGAAACGCATCTACAAGTCAAATCCCCCTCGTCTGATCAATTATTATAAGGTGTTTGTTTTCAAGGTTTTTATTCCGAATAACATACAGCTTGTAGTATATCCTGAGCTGTCGGCCTACAGGCCTGGGCGTGTTAACTCGCCCACCGGGGAAATCAGAACAAATGTATAGGCTTATAGAACTGCCACGCTGTTTGAAGTTATGGCCGTCACCTCTCCCTGCGGACAGGTCTAACCGTTGCGTCCCTCCATGATACCGTGAGGTGGTGTTAGTAGTACCGATAGAGTCCACACATAAATTACAGTTTTGTACGATTGGGACTACTCAAACTGCCTGTCGAATGGTTTAGGATTTATTTGTTGAGAACACAAATCCAAATCTCATTGATGACGTTAGTGAATAATTCTTCTACATACCAAAGGGTTGAATTGATTCATAAAACAATGTGCTCGTTTCTCCATGAGTGGGCGTTTTGTAATAAGCGTCGTGTCTACACAAGAGCATGGCTGCAGTCTTGCATAATGGTTTAACTACAACGTTAAAACAACGGCAAAGACTTTTCGCATAAACGATTGCAAGTGGTGCCTCAATGGAGAGAATGTCCTCTTTTGTTCCAGGGAACCGAATGCTAAGACACAGGCAATGTATTATGTATTGAATTGAATCCCATAGCTAGGTTCTGGCTTTGTTGCCATGGTTACCTTAGATTCCAGAAATTCAGCTCCAACGGTCTGACACTCTACGGTTCCTATAAACATTTGCAAATTCAACGAAAATACCGGGATAAAATAGTTACAGCAGATAGCAGCATGATGTGTCATTTTCGTTTGTCAACATTAAAGAATACCAGTTCTTCAATATTGATGTTTTCATGTGGACGGTTACTTAAATTTTCATCCGTTAGTTTATTTCAAGAAGTTTGAATACGTATTGATTTTCGAGGCCCTGCATGAAGTACAGTAAACTACGTTTATAACTAACACGCTTATAACGAAATGATGGATATAACAAACTTATTTGCCATTTGCTGTACATATGCGGTATATACTTATAACGAGCTTCGGTAATATTTTTTTAATTTGACGTTTACGCGAAATACGGCTTTTCCATTGGACGAGAGGTCGGTCACATGACCGAGAAATTGACGTTCATAAGTGTATGAACGACACAATTTGACGTTCATACGTTTTTCACGAGACCGTGTTCTTGAAATGACGTAAACACTGAGGGACTACTTCCACATTTCTGGGGAAACCCCTGGGAATTCCCTAGCACGAAAACATACATATATTAAGCATTATTTCTGATCATTTAGAACCTTTAATCTTGGTCTCAGCATTTCAGTATACATTGAGAAACGTAAGAGAGCTTGACTGCATGATTGTTCACGAATTTCTTCGCTTCGGCCCATCCCAATGAACAAACGAAAAATTGCAGTAGAGATGTTACCATCTCCGACGTTCATACAGTTTGGCCCCCACTCTATGAAGGTTCATACTCCAATGAACTCACACAAAGTGAAGGTCAATTCTTAAGTAAAATTAGTGGTCCCTTTGAGTTCGTTTATACCGTATTTTACTGTAGTTTTGAACTTCGGCTGAGCTTGTGTTATGACGTTGGTATTTGATGGATTTAATGTTGTAGAACTATATTATCATACTGGATTAACTGGCGGTTTATTATGTTAACGTTGATGGAATAATACTAATGATAGCACTAGAAAGTATCGTATTGATAATGGATAACAATATTAAACAAAATGGTGTTTTGAGTAAAGGTTTCGTTATACTGTCGGACAGTTACTATAACGGACGTCATTGCACTTTCGAAATTGATCTGTTTTAACCGTTATGCTAAAGCACTGTTCTTCTGTAATATCTAGTGAAATCATATTTTTCATCTTCAGGATACACAAAGACGGCGACGATGTTACTGTCTTCATACACTTTCATCAGAAAACACCATGTTTACAAATCAGCCTTGACCTGTGTGTATTGAAGCGGAACCAGATTTGCTAGACGTTATTAAACCCAGTCATAAACCCTCCAATGAAAGCAACTTTTTAAATTAAATTACTCCAGGTTGAAAAAACTTCACTTGGAAATTTTTTATGCTGCTCGTATGAACAATTTTAAAATTTTCCACGAGGACGTGTTACTAAATAAATAATAAGTTGTTTGTAGTCCTGATAGCTCATCAAAGGATTGGTTTGATGACTGAAGAATATCATGGCTGGGGGCGCTAAAGAATTAGTTTACTAATTTGAATATTCACTGGTTACGGAGGAAGTGAATGTCGACGGTCACTTGGGAGAAAGAAATATCCCATCTGCACGCAACAACCTGGACGACATGACTTCATGAAATATGACTACGAA